GGGAATTCTGGTATTTAATCTAGTATCATAATTACTTCCTCATGTTCTGTCTTCATTCCCAGATCTCACCCTTAACACACCACTGTCAAAATTTGATCCAATGTTGGAACTCTCCACTCATTTCTCCTAGGATGCACTTATCTTAGCCAGTAGAGCAACAACAGTTTCATGTTTCTCATTCATTTGCTTCATAAATCCATCAATATTATCAAATTTAGCATCGACCTTACCAGTTAGAAAAGCAACAACACTCAATTCACTCATATCTTTATCCAGCCTCTTTAGGTTTTCTTCGGTAGTTTTTTGTCTAGTCTTAATTCTTGCCCAGATTCTTAGTGCTTTAATACCAAATGTAAAGAGTGAAGTTCAACTTGGGTATAAACTCACTCAAAATTAGTACCAACTTAATAATCACAGCTTTAAGGAGCTAAGATCTCAGCCCAATTGTTGAATTAATCATGAAAATTGAGAATGAGTGAAGATAGAGTTAGAAGAAGAAGAAGAAGATACGAGAAGTAGAAGAAATAAGAAAGAGAATTGATTGATAGAAATGATTTTACATAAACACAAAGACCTATTTCTCCCATGTTCTGTACATATATAAGTTAAATACAAAATGAATGAAAATCGTATTCCCTTTACAAAAAACGTAATAAGCAAAATGACACTTGTGGACCCCACTTCTGAAATCTAGATACGGTTGGTTCTTTTCCTTCTTTCCCCCCAATTCTTCCATTGTGTTGCCACTACCTCATCATGACAGTGTCATTTACAAAGTCGGATTTTTTTTTTCTATTTGACTAATTTGTACTTACTCAAGTGTTGATGAAAGGTCGTGAAAATGTCTAAATAAATCGGTAAATTATGAGACTTTATCGATCCTAGTCAAGTTAAGTATTTTACTTCAAGAATTTATCTTTCTTTCAATCTTCATAATAAGGCTTGTCACTCTCTATAGCTTATTCACTTAAAAGAATTGAAATTGGTAAATCCAGCACATATTACTTGGTTCATTCTCATATTGGGCCCCGATCAATGTTTGGATCGGTCTTATTAGAAAAATTGACAAAAATATCACTAGTTAAATATATTTATGATTGTTGACACTCTTTTTCAGGTTTTTCCATAAGCAAGGATACTGCTATTTACATTTACGGTTTTTATATATACATCCACTATTAAAAAGATAATTATATTATTATTTTTTTATCTTATGTAAATTTACCTATATAGACATATATAAAATTAAATAAAAATATATTGTTCTAAATTCATCTACTAATATTCATTTTCATAAAAAAAAAATTTAAACTTTTTATTTTCTTTTAGAGTTTGTGTTTAACAAAAATTCTAATTATCATAAACACCATCTTTAACTAAAATCATAAAACCCTAATAATAAAATATCATCTTCAAAGAAAATTTAAAAAATAACAAATAACAAATCAACACATTATTAGACTTATAATGTTTTCTTGATATGAAAATTGGAATCTTATTTTTTTATGCTTTTTTAAGTATTGATTTGACAGATAGAAAATATACGAGAAATTTCAAAATAAATTTCAATACTTTTCCAAATATTTTTACATTATGAAAGGAAACAAACTTAAAATTATCAATCGAAATACAAACAACCAAAATTATGAGTTTATAACTTCTAATAAAAAGGGAAATGAGGGTCTACTATTAATGCAATAATAATTTAATCCAATTTTACTATGCACGATGTCATTTTTTATTTTCCATTTGTTTATATCAAACAAATGTTCTTCCACACATCATGCTACTAGCATTAAAAAAATAATTATGCTAAACAAATGTTCTTCCACGCATCATGCCACTAGCATTAAAAAAATAATAATTTTAGTAAATATAAACTGCCATGGGCCCCAAAAAAAAAAACTCTTCACACATGAGCTTTAAAATAATAATAATAATAAACTCTCCGCACAGTGCAGAGAGATGGCAAACCAAGTGCGGAGTAAAAAAGGGAAAAAAAACTCTCCGCATAGGGCGGAGAGTTGGCAAACTCTCCGTACAGTGTGAAGTTAAAAAAAAAATCTCTCCCCACAGCACGGAGAGATGGCAAACACCATGGCAAAACTCTCCGCATAGTGCGAAGAGATGACATTCTGTGCGGACACTGTCATCACAAAGTGCGGACTCTCCATATAGTGTGGAGTAAAAAAAAAAATCGCACAGTGCGAAGAGTTGGCAAACTTTCCCTACAGTGCGAAGTTATAAAAAAAAATCTCTCCGTACAGTGACTGTCACTTTCGTTGTACGAATTTTGCATTTATCGTATTTTTATTAGTGTATGAATTTTAGTTTTTTGGAAAGTTTTTGAAGTAATATCTAGAAATATTTTCATGATATAAGAAAATAAGTATAAATTATTTTTACAATTGCATAATAGTATTGTGTCATCTAAAAAAAATATACTTGTATATTTCATACTTGAATAAGAAATATACGAGATGATACAAATTATTTTGCTTATATTCTCTGATAGTGTTGATATGATTGAATTGAATGTGAAGATTATATTTCTAAATTTTGTGTAATTCAATATTGGAAAATTGAAGATTGAGCACCATATTCATATGTATTTATATTTTGTGCTTCATATATATTTAATATTTATTTTATGCTTAAGTTGAAAAAATAAAAATTTGGAATTTTTTTTTGAAATTCGGTTTGGTAAGTGAATGTCGTAGTATTCTGCATTCTCGGTATTTGTAAGTGCAAAAATCGATATATAAAAATACAGTAAGCTATAAATACGGTAGACAGTATATACGGTAAGTTGCAAATACAGTAGGCAGCATATACGGTAAACTACAAATATGGTCAGGTGAAAATACGATAAGTTGTTTACAAATATTGTAAGCTGAAAATACGATAAGCTGCAAATACGATAGACATCATATATGGTAAGCTGTATATACGGTAAGCTGCCTACAAATATGGTAAAGTGCATATATAGATTTATAATTTGTTATAAATGTATAAAATTTATTTAATATTGAATTTCTTAAGTATCAAATGTTGTAATTCAATATTATTTTTTTTTTTATAATTGTATTTTTCGAGAATTAAAAAAAAAAAAAAGGGGTTATAAAATTTTTAATTTTTAAATGAGTTTTTTTTTTGAAGATAAAAATGATTTTTTTATATTATTTATAAAAAAAATTATTGTAATTTTATTAGCGTAATAAAAAGATTTATTATGCATTTTTATTTTTTGTATTTTGTGAAGAATTTTGTTTATGATGATTGACAAATATTCTTCCACACTCGCATCATGCCAACAACATTAAAAAAATAATAATAATTGTAGTATATATAAACTCCCAAAAAAAAAAAACTCCGCACATGAGTAAAAAAAAACACTACGCAAAGTGTGGAGAGATGGCGAACTATCTCTCCGCACAGTTTGAAGAGAAAAACAAAAACTTTCGAGACTTTATGTGTAAGTTTCAAGAGGCATTTTCTCAAACAATTTTTGAACAATGCATTGAACACTTTAATTCCTGGCCTACAACTCAAAAGTATAATTTCATTGAAAATTGTATTCGCTTCTAATGTCTAAGAGCTGTTATCAAGCAAGTGTAAAATATTGAATTTAAGTGGTACCCTAGAGCCTTCATTTGTGAAACAGCTCACATATTGTTTCATTGTATGAATCACGAGAAAGCTCATTTCCAACATCGTAAATATGATTTGTATGCTCAAAAATTGAGTTGTGATTGGAATTTAAAGAAAACATAATTGATTTTGAGACATGTTTTTTGACTCTATTTGTTGTATATACAAAAAATTTACACTCTTGAAATTTAACTTGTAATTAAAGAATTTGAAAACAACTCTCCACATTGTGCAGAGAGTTTTTTTCTCTTTGTACTGTGTGGAGAATTGGTTTGTCATCTCTCCGCACTGTGCAGAGAGCTTTTTTTTTACTCCGCACTATGCGAAGAGTTTGCCAACTCTCCGCACATGATTCAACTCTCTCTGCACTGTGCGAAAAGTGTGAAGAGGTTTTTTTCTCTCCGCACTTTTTTTTTACTTCGCACATGGCTCAACTCTCTACACACTGTGTGGAGAGTTTTTCTCTCTGCACTATGTGGAGAGTTTTTTCATGGTGCGAACCAACTCTCTGCATTGTGTGAAGAGATTAACTCTCTCCGCACAGTGTGGATAGTTTTTTTTGCTCTCCGTACTGTGCAGAAAGTTGATTTGTCATTTCTTCTTATTGTACGAAGAGATTTTTTTATTACTCCGCACTGTGCGAAGAGTTTGCCAACTCTTCGTACATGGTTTAACTCTTTCCGCCCTTTTTTTATTTTTTATTTTTACTCCGTACTTGGTTCAACTCTTTTCGCACTGTACGGAGAGTTTTTTTTTTCAATTTTACAATATTGAATTACACAAAATTAGAAATATAATCTTCACATTCAATTCAATTATATCAATACTATCAAAGAATACAAGCAAAATAGTTTATATATTTCTTATTCAAGTATGAAATATACAAGCATATTTTTTCTAGATAACATACTGTTATGCAATTGTAAAAATAATTTACAATTATTTTCTTATATCATGGAAATATTTTTAGATATTGATTCAAATTTTTTTCAAAAAAAATTAAAATTCATACACTAATAAAAATATGATAAATACAAAATTCGTGCAATACGCGTATTAGTAACCAGTATATATATATAATGAAATGCATATATAGGTTATATTTGAGCCACATTTTTTCAAAAAAATACGTTCTTAAACGGTGATTTGATATTATTTTAATCACATATTCTTTAATAAAATAATATTACACGTAAATTCAAAATTTTTTTATTTTTATTTTTTAACAATACATTATCCATCAATATACTATTCAAAAATACATTATTTGTAATATAACGTGATTCAAACAAAGGCATAAATGTGATGTAAATAAAGGTACCGTAACAAATTAATCCTTACCCGTAAATTTTAAGCGTAAATTTCCTATTATCCAATCGCTTGGGATAAGAAACATGGCGGCGCCAGAACAAACGAGCAAAAAAAATTTCTGGGTTTGAACCTTAAACCTCTCAAAGAGTAAGCTTTCTTTCAGTTAATCTCTCTGTATATTTTTTGCGCACCACGAAGCATATTTGTTTTTTGGAGATTTAATTGGTTTAAGATGGAATTAATGATATCTGCAAGGCAATCCAATGAAAGTTTTTGCTCATTTCATCATCCTATTCGTGAGCAGAGCTCGATTAAACATAGAATTAAAATTTGTTGGACAAACTTTGTTTCAGAGAAAACGAAAATTGATCGGTTTAGGAAAAGACGGCGAAATCGGGTGTTAGCTGTTTCGAAGACTGAAACTTTTGGTACAAATGGTAGGTTACGGTTGTCGAATATGGAGAAAAACCCACAAGGTCAAAAGAATTCGAATCACAATTTCGAGGAATTTGAGAGTAATAATTTTCTTCGTCGGTTGGTTAAGAATGGGGAGTTGGAGGAAGGGTTTAGGCATCTCGAGAACATGGTTTACCGGGGTGACATTCCCGATATTATCCCGTGCACGAGTTTAATTCGTGGGTTTTGCCGGATTGGAAAGACTAAGAAGGCTACTAGAATCATGGAGATTCTTGAAGAATCCGGGGCTGTTCCTGATGTTATAACTTATAACGTGTTGATTAGTGGGTATTGTAAGTCGGGGGAGATTGATAGTGCGTTGAAAGTCTTGGACCGAATGAGCGTTGCCCCGGATGTGGTCACATACAATACGATTTTGCGCACTTTATGTGATAGTGGGAAATTGAAACAAGCTATGAAGGTTCTTGATCGGCAGCTGCAAAAGGACTGTATTCCCGATGTGATAACCTATACGATTTTGATTGAAGCCACTTGTAAAGAAAGTGGAGTTGGACAAGCAATGAAGCTCTTGGATGAAATGAGGATTAAAGGGTGTAAGCCTGATGTGGTTACTTACAATGTTCTTATCAACGGGATTTGTATGGAAGGCAGATTGGATGATGCTATTAAGTTCTTGAATAATATGCCCTCTTACGGTTGCCAACCTAATGTGATCACGCATAACATCATTTTGCGCAGTATGTGTAGTACAGGGAGGTGGATGGATGCTGAGAAACTATTGGCGGAGATGCTTAGAAAAGGGTGTTCACCAAGTGTTGTAACCTTTAACATCTTGATTAATTTCCTGTGTAGGAAAGGACTACTTGGTCGAGCAATTGATATTTTGGAGAAGATGCCTAAACATGGGTGTACACCAAATTCCTTGAGTTACAATCCATTGCTTCATGGGTTCTGCAAGGAAAAGAAGATGGATAGGGCGATTGAGTATCTTGAGGTAATGGTATCTCGGGGGTGTTACCCTGATATTGTGACCTACAATACATTGCTTACTGCTTTATGTAAAGAAGGGAAGGTTGATATTGCAGTCGAGATACTTGATCAGCTAAATTGCAAAGGCTGTTCTCCTGTTTTGATTACATACAATACAGTGATTGATGGGCTCTCGAAGATGGGAAGAACCGAACGTGCTATCCAGCTATTGGACGAAATGCGGGAGAAAGGGCTCCGACCTGATATCATCACCTACTCATCACTCGTGAGAGGACTCAGTAGAGAAGGAAAGATTGATGAAGCTGTCAAATTCTTTCATGATATCGAACAGCGTGGGGTCAGGCCCAATGCTATCACATATAATTCCATTATGTTGGGGCTTTGTAAGGCTCGTCAAACATATCGTGCCATTGATTTCTTGGCTTATATGGTATCGAAGGGATGCAAACCTACTGAATCTACATACACAATTCTGATCGAAGGCATTGCTTATGAAGGATTGGCAAAGGAGGCTTTGGAGTTATTGAACGAATTGTGCACTAGAGGAGTGGTGAAGAAAAGTTCAGTCGAACAGGTGGCAGTCAAAATATAGCCTGAAGTAAGGCTCGTCAAACATATCGTGCCATTGATTTCTTGGCTTATATGGTATCGAAGGGATGCAAACCTACTGAATCTACATACACAATTCTGATCGAAGGCATTGCTTATGAAGGATTGGCAAAGGAGGCTTTGGAGTTATTGAACGAATTGTGCACTAGAGGAGTGGTGAAGAAAAGTTCAGTCGAACAGGTGGCAGTCAAAATATAGCTTGAATGCTTAACTGTTGCTTCAATAAGGCAACTTTCTGGCACTGAAGTGAGCTCTACGGTTTAATTTGTTGTAATGTGAATTGAATTGTTCTGAAGAGTCAGGCTTTTTGCTTTCCTTTTGTTACTTTTCTAACAAAGGGATGTCCCAAGCAGTTTTGCTCTTTGCTGTATGCATCGTTAGATTTTGTTATTTGCTTGGGTTATTTCTTGAATACCTTGGCCTTTATAGTTATTTTTTTCGTGGTGAGATTAGAGGTAGTGCTATTACTTTGGCCGGAGTCAATGGTGTGAAAATGCAAGAGAAAAGATATACAATATAGATCAACGTTGTTGATTCTACTTCAAAATCGTGTTTTTACTATATTCAATTTCTTGAAACCTATGAGAAGGTAAATGACTTCTGCACTCTTTCTTGTGAGAATGGAGGAAATATGGTACGATCCATCACCCTGTGGTGATATTGGTGTTATCGTAGTTATTGTTCTGTGAAGATATATTGTTAGGTATTTTATTTTATATTTTTTTGGTTGTCAAAATAAATGTGTTTGAGACATACACCAATTGTTATTCAATAAGATGATATTTCCATCTTTTCTCAAGAAACAAATGAGATATTTCTTTGCAAAATTGTGCTCAATTTTAGAGTTCATATAATGTAATGTCTATAAGATGAACAAAGAGAAAACAAGGAACATTTTAAAATTTAAAATGAAGGCAAGCAATATGCTATAATAGATAAAACAAAATATCACTTAACTTCAATAAATAGAAGTGGTACTCATTGTCATTGAGAGTAAATTTCATTTGTGATCGTTGAACTTTCAAAGAAATTTTTATTGGATCACTAAACCTTAATATCTTAATTCGATACTTCAATTTAGTTTTAGATTTTACCATTGTATCACATTTTATCACTATACGTCTTCAAACTTTCAAAAATTATTTAGTTGACAATCATATCATATTTGATCTTCTGCATAATCACTTTCTAGCACCCTTATGACAATAAACAATAGCTTTAGTTTAAAATGTGAAAAAGATAGTATTTTTACACTTTCACGATGTGACACAACAGTAAGATGGCATGTCACGTAGCTATTTTGTAAAAGATTCGTAATGAATGATGGCATTGGTGAACTTTGAAACTAAGACTCCATTTGACCATCTCTTAGTGTTATTTGCAATGACCCACTAACTACCACAGTCGTCTTACGTAGCACACATATGACGCTTCGTGGACTGCGATAGTAAGCAACTGTAAATAGCATTATTCTTAAAAAAAATATTTCTCAAACTTATTTTCAATTAGATATTTCATGGATTCATAATTTTTATTAATTTTCCAATCATATATTTCATCAATTTTAATAAAAATTGATATTAAGACAGTTTGGTAAGGCAGTGGCAGACATTCGTTAACAAACCTCACATGATCAGACTAACAACTGATCCAAACAGTAATCTTGGATTGGATTAGGGTTTCTACAAGCAAAATCCTCTTAGAAAACAGGCAAATTATTAATGGAATGAATATCTGTCTGTGGAGAGTTGAATGATGACACTTGAGATTACTCAAACTCAAGCCTATGATGAGCCATGGTACCGGGACAACCGCCACACTGAGGATCCTGGCCCCTCTGATTGGTACCAAAACTACCCTTCTCTTTCACCTCTCCTCCGCCTCTACATCCACCTCAACCACCACCGTGTCCTCGTTGTCGGCTGTGGCAATTCCGGTACTTCACTCTTTTTACTTTGATTATGTACCTTCATTTGTCGATGATTTCAATTGTTCGATTGATTTTGCAGCGTTTAGTGAGTACATGGTTGGTGATGGATATGAGGATTTTGTAAATATTGATATATCCTCTGTCGTGATTGAGGCTATGCAGAAGAAGTATTCCAATCGCCCCCACCTCACATGTGTATATCTTCTATTCGTTTGAGCCAATCTACAATTTATGATCTTTTATGATTGTAGCTCCTTAATAAAGGATAACATTGTTAATCTTCACATATCATACAAACCCAAGGAATGGGATACACTCAGATCGTTACATTGGGAATCTAAGGTGCGGTTGCTTCTCTTCTTGTAACTCTTCTAGCCAAACAAAGCTAAACATATTCAAAAGCAGCTTCTTAGTTTCAAATGTAGCTTTTGGTTCTTAAAAGCCCTGCCAAATGAACCTTAAATCTACTTCTATAAGTGAGAACTGATAGGAATATATTGTCTGGCAACATAGGCTAATTTATTGTGTGGATGCAACTTAAACTCAAGTAGCTTATATTTGAGTAGATTATAACAATATTAGAGATCATTATAAATCATTTTTCGTTAAATTGTTAGTGTTTTATTGTTGTTATTATTCAAGTTCTAGTTCTAGCTTCTTCTTAGAGGATTGATTGGCCTAGATTTCAAGAATATGAATATTTATGGTGGCATAAGGGAATTATGCTAAGATTTAAAGATGTTCTCATTGAAGTTCTATTTTTACGAAGTTTGCTTGTCTTGAATTTTATGAAATCTTTTACAAGTACATTTCATGAGAATTTGATGTACCGACAAAGGAAGAAGTCCGTAATTTCCTTGTCGAGGAAGTACACTATTTTTATCGTAATTCAGTTAGACCCAAAGACATGCAGAAGGAAAGAAAGAAAAAAGCAGGATCATAGACAGAAATGATATTGATCCCTTATATGGCCAACTTATATTTTCCTAAAGTCTGATAAGATATTAAAATGGATGTCTGAGACATGAGTACATTTAAAATGGGATCCTCGATGCTGTCATTGACAAAGGTATTCCTTTTAAGAATTTTTATATGAACTATGAAATAAATTATTTGCAGATTCTAATGTCTTTTCGACATGGTCTTCCAGGAACTATGGACTCTCTTCTGGTGAGTACTCTATGTTGCAATAGATTTATAAACAAACCATATTACAAAGTTGAGTATTTTCTTGCAGTGTGGATACAACTCATAGCAAAATGCTACTAAAATGCTTGAAGAAGTCTGCAGGTAAACCAAACTACAGAATACTTTGCACATTTTCTAGTTTGCTTGCCTATTTATTTTCACTCTGTTTATAAATTAAGCAGTTCATGACAAACGGTAGGGTTCTCAAGGATAAAGGAGTATATATCCTCGTAATTCCTCTTTATTCTCATCACTGTCAGAACCGATTCCTTCGTTTCTCTATTACAGTCATTTTGAACTAAAAGAAGGGGATAAAATTAACATGATAAACAGCTGCTCAAAATATAATAATATTCTATAGATTACACATGGATCACCGGTTTAACATTCACAAATAAAGATTAGGTTTTTGTGAGAAGAATTGGCAAAATGATCCCTCGTAAATTTGTTTTCATTGTGGATATAGTCAACCCCATTAGCTAAATTCGTTCTAACTTGGGTACTCAACAGGGACATCAGCAAAATTGTGTTTTGTTGTTTTATAGCTAATGCACCTACTTTTCCCATGCTTTCCATTTTTATATTCTGTAGGCTGTATTTTTAATTTGACCAAACTTTAGTTTCAGAATGATGTAGGATGTGGGGTCAACGAAGTGACAATATTAGGACATGTGGGTTTAACTAAACTAGCTTCATGATTTGGTGCTCATAATGAATAAAAGGTGGGTCTGAGATGTTTGATGGAACTTCACTGAAAAAAATTAGAATTTTGGAATATTTCAATAAATCATGAAATATTTAGGTTGCATGAAATGGCAAGAGAAAAAGAATTGTCACGAAAATTTTAAGCATCAAAGTGTTTGATCAGAATATATTCATCATGCGCTTCTGTGTTACGTACGCAAATTATTATATACAGAAAAGCTTTTTTTCAAGTGAGCTTTAAATTTTGCTCACCACACTGTTCAATTGTAAGTACACATCATATACAATAGACACATTCAATGGTGTTGAGTACAAAATTGTGATCGATCTTCAAATTTAGATTGTAAGATTAAGATTCATATAATCACAAACACATAATTCAGCGGATCTGCCAGAAATAGTCGACGACGCTCACCTAAACTTTGTTCCGTTGCCATGCCTATCCAAATTGTCATGTGGGTGGGTTCTATCAGATCTGCGGTATTGAGCAAGTTGATTATTGATTCTTGAAAGCACATTTTGCGAATGTGCCAATCTCTCACCAAGATCCAAGTCGTGAGGAATGGACGAACTATTTGTTTGTGGTTGATTACATGGCTGGGCATTATGCATTCCAAATAGTTTTTTCACCATGTCATCTAGCTCAGCAACACTTTTCTGTAAATAGGTTTTATCCCTCTGCACAAAGCATGATAGAAAGGTAAAAAGAATGTCTTCTGATCAAATTCAAGAATATTTTCATAATTATGAGATATAGATTGTTTTAGGGGTACCTTCAGCATATTATTTTGTGCAGTCAACAACTGATCCCTCTCCTGTAATTCTTCTACAGTTATCTGAGTTGTGAGTAAGTCTGTTTTGCTTCTATTCACTTCAGATATGCATCTGCAGGTATTAAAAAAAAAAAAAAAATGTTTGAGATCTCACCTCAAGAATTTGAAGAACAAATTTATTACAAAATTCCATGATCATATCAGGAATTGTCGATCTAAATAATCATTTGGAATGCACAGGTGATGTATAACATTTTTAAGTTTTTTGAACTAAGCATTTGAAGTTCAGTACTAAATGATATGAAATTCAACCCGACTTACCTCTCCCTTTCCTCAAGCAAATCGTTAATTTGACCCCTCAGATTGTAAATTTCATGCTCCTGGTGACCAAAAATATATATTAAACTTAGAGCTCAACTAGTCAAGTAACGACCTACAGTAAACAAAATGTACCATTGTAATAAGCTCTTGTCTTTGTTGTAGAGCCTCCTCAACTAGCTTTTGAAGCTGATTCTGGTCGATCATATTCTAGGACAACGCAACAGATTCGTCATTTTAGTAAGAAAAGCATATGTGGACAAATATTTTGTTTAGGTAAAGTTTAAACTTACAGCATAATTTGTGATATCCAGTTTGACACTGAGTAGATCCCTAATGACATCATGTGTCATGCTTTCTGTGGCGGCAAGTTTAGTGTTCAGCATACACACCTGAGGCAATATAGATCAAAACCATAGTGTTATGTCGACGGTTTTCAGAATTACGAAGTCTCCACGGATTATTCAATTGCATAGGGAGACAGACACAGGCAGGACAATTGTATTGAAGAATATCAGAAACGTTAAAACAAGAACAGAAAATGAATATTTAAAAAGACGTTCAAAATGACAACTAAAAATAAATGGCAGCGAGATTAAGGGAAGTATTTTATATTTGATCATAATTTGGAATTTTGAATTGATAAGTGACCCCAGATAAAGGTCAAAGAGGATATGGATATGGTCATCTGAAAATACGAGTATACATGACCATAGAGCAATGCTTAAATACCTCTTTCTGCCGACTAGCTGACAATGCCTCTAGCTCTTTTATACGAAGCCTTGCATTCAACATTTCTTGATCTTTCTCCACATTCATCTGCTGGACTAGACTGGCAATGCATCTGAATGGAGAACTAGAACGCCTTGTCCTTGTTGAACTTTTATCTTCTTTATGTGAGGCTGCTGCCTCAAATGTCACACTTGATACATCTGTTTTAACTTCGCGAACCATTGTTTCCAGGTTTTTGTACTGGTCATAGGACATCAAACAAATATGGTTTCAATAAAGAGGAATTGTAATCAAACAAGCATTGGCAGCAGACCAAATAAACACAACTCTTTACATGGCATTCCAACTTTCTCAAGTTGTTGTCCAGAGACTGAAGCTCATAAAAACCAAACCCATGGTTTTTTTCTTTTCTTTTCTTTTCTTTTGCTTATGGGCACAAGTTCCGAGTCCATGTTGAAAATCAGCGATTGGAAATTTCTAATACAATGTTACGAGTTTCTGAGCTTTCATTTTATCTAAATTCACAAGTTGAAACGCGTACCACTTGGATTCAGTAAGACAAAGCATTCTAGCCATTTATCAATGGATCAACAAGATGATGATGATGATGATGATGATGATGATGATGATGATGATAATAATGATAATAATAAAAGTTCTTTTGCCATCTATTTCGAAAGAAGTTTAAAGCAAAATGACATAATGGTTTGCATTCCTGATTATGTACCTTCTGTTGATATTGCGATGCTTGTGCTTCAGAATGCAATACAAGTTCAGAAATGTACTCTTTGATTTGCTCAATCTGCAGAGCAGAATCAATAAATTTTCATTAGGTAGAAGGAAAAATGAAACAGGACTAATGAGGAAAGGGTACAAAGGGGTCAGGTCAGGAATGAAATCCACTAGCTAATTAAACCTCCTTTGATTGCCCCGCTTTTTCCGCTTCAAGGACTCTTATTCTTCTAAGAGCCTCTGCAAGTTCCAGGGATCTGCTATGCAGTTTCCTGGAACAAAATAATTAATAATTATAGATGACTGCGATGCAGGAACTAACAAAATGCATAGAGAAAGCAAAGAGCTTTCTCACCTTGAAATTAGATCCTCAGATAGAGTTGTGCTTGAGTTATCGGAATTAAGAGTTTCAGTCAGGTCCTCAACAGTTAATAATCTCTCTCTCAGTCCTTGAAGTTCCAATTCTAACGAATCTCTGATCACTCGATGTTTTTCAATTTCCTCGCCCATTTCTTGCACCTTAAAATGGTAAATATTGAAGTTCACTTTTTCAAATAATAACCTATTAACTCGTTAACATGAAGTGCATTACCTGAAGCAATCATAGATGACGGAAACAGCATGGCATACAATGCAAACTTTCAAATCAAACAAAAAATTTGCAGCAGGTCCTATGACTGACAGGAAGTTTTCCCTGATAATAGAGTAGAAGAAAAGCTTACCTTCTTCTCGAGTACAGTTATGGTGATATCAAGCTCCGCGACAGAATTTTCTAAAATCTTGACCTCCTCTTCCTTTTGCTCAGCATACATTTTACTCACCTCCGACTCCTGGGGTGGTGGATTCAAATTTAGCTGAAGAAAAACCTTCTACATTCTGCAATATTATAAAACTTCAAACATGAACATACCTGTCGGGCTTCCGCTGCTATAGCTTCATTCTGATCTGCTAAAGAACATGCCATGTCAAGCCTATCTTGCAAAGAGCAAAGCTGTTCAACAAGTTCGTCTCTTTCTAAACTCACCCTTCTTAAATCTTCCTCAATATCTTTCATTGAAGAAATCGATTGTTTCTGGGAAGAAAGATGCATGTGAATACTTTCTTTTTCTAAACTTCTGACAATTTCCCTTTGGTCTTCCAGTAGCTCCTCTGCTTCTGACTTTTTAAGATAGAGATCCTTTGTGAGCACTTGCAACTCAGTATTTTGAGCTGAGAGGAAATCTAATTTTCCTCTGGCCTTTTCCAATTCGGACTTTGAGATGCACAAAGCTTGCTCAGCTTCAGTCAAGCGGACTTCAAGTTTTATATTTTCACTGAGCATGTCATCAAGTTGAACAGTTTTTAATTGTAGCTCATGCTTAACTCGGTTCAAAGTGACAACCAACTCTTCAATTTCATCCTTACTGTCCTTTCTGTTGCACAAAGATTCTTGCAGCAAACTGAAATCAAAAAATAATCCTTTCAATAGAACATCTTTCCGTTCGAGCTCTCTCTTGAGTTCATAATTTTCACTTATAGTGTCATCTTGTACCAGGGCCAACTCTGTAACCTCTCTTTTGCTGAGTTTTGCAGTCTGATCTCCTTGCCATTGGGCAGAAGAAACGATACTGGCATTATTGCATCTTACATAACCTCTTTCAAGGTCAATCATCGTTAAACAATCTTCTTGAAAGGGAGAGGTATGTAAATTAGACGTTATGTTCAGCCTTCTGAACTTGTGAAAGAATTCTCCCATGTGGCACTGTAGCACAATGGAAGTAATTTCGTTTTCCACTGTCCGGCACATTACATCTTCCAGTGAAAATCTCAAGTTACAATTCAAGTTTAATGTCTCTTGAACTGAGTAGAAGGCATTGTCATATGCTGCATTTAACAATTCCTCTACACTTCTTTGCATTTGGAGAAAAGATCCTTCAAGCAAATGCATTAAATTTCCTATTTCTCTCAAGCCATAGTGGATATGATCCTGCAAGACTTCATTCTCTCCATCTCTTAAATGAATATGTAATCTGAGTTGTTTGATCTCTTCACTCAAGTTAACTTTATCTGCCATGAGTTCCTCTCCCGCCTGTTTCCAGATTGCCATTAACAAATTTGCATTTTCATTTGCTTTTAACATTGCTTTTAACATGTGATCTGCTTCTTTTACAGTTGAATGAGCCTCCTCGAATTTGGCAAAGAAGGTATTGGCGTTACTAAATTTGTCTTCAACTGCTGACTGCATATCACATAATATTGTAATTAAGATCAAAATAAGATATGCATATGTTTTGGACTGGCTTATTTAAATCAAACAGAAAAAGTAGAGAAGTGTACTTCATATTTATTCATAAAAAAATAAATGAATAATTTTAGCTGTGCATTTTGCTTGTAGGGTCTTTACCTGTTCACTATAGTTCCTGCCTGATTCAGCTTTCAACATCGACAACTTATCATGTTGAACCTTATGGTTGGTCTCCAGCATGGCAGGTTGATTGTGTCCAAGTACATGATGCTTGATGAAGTCCACAAATTCATTCATATCAGGGAGAGAGGAATTCGTGGCAGTGACATTCTTGATTGTGTCCTTGTTCAGGACTTCAATGAACTGATCCTTTAGTTTGGCAAAAGTGTTGCGAGCTTTTCTTAACTCCTTACCAAAGTGCAAAACTGTTGTATTATGATTGAAATTTGATCCTTCATCTGATTCTGGTGACAGAATTTGTTCAGTTATTTTGCCAGGTGAGTCGTAGCTGTTTCTTGATGAAGATTTATTGGATATATTATCTTGATCAACATTATAATCTGAAGAATCGGAGTCTGAAGTTGAACAATCACTGATCCATCCATCTATCTCCACTAAATCTTCAGTTGAACCTGGATTGAGCACATTCATAACTTTGTAAAATCCCACTGTAATAGAACTCAGTCTGTCATTTGTTTCAACAAGTTCATCTCTGATTTCATGCAGCATTTGTAGCTGATTTTCATGCATGCATGAAGCACTCGATGGAATTCCGGCTGCACAAAGTTGAAGGCTTCCTTGATTCCTGTTAAACTCCTCAACATTCCTCCTCATCTTAGCAATATCCTTGACACTTTCGCTAATCAATTCCTCATAAAGAGAAACTGCTTTATGAATGTCGGATTTCAGCTCATATAAATAAGTTTCTGCATCAGAATGAGCTGCATTGACAGCATCTTCAATCTCTAACAAAACCAGCCTTGCCAATTCAATTTGGTCATCAACATTTGCCATTGTCAAACCTTTTGTATGAGCAAATGGCACATCTCGATTAACACTGTCTTTAAGACCACTCATGAAATAATTAGCAGTCCTGTTTTCAACGACTAAAGCAGCATTAGAGCATGTTTCAGCTTCAGAACTGTGGCGGTCCTTGGAGATCAATTTATCCCCTGAAAACTCTTTTTCATCAAATGAATCATTTAAAAGAGTTGTTAACTGTACATCCTCTTTGTTGCTTGAGTTATTCTCTAGCTGCTGAAATTCAGTCAAAGCAATTGTTGCACCCTTCAAGGAGATCAATTGCTGTTCCATCTGCATTACAGTCTTCTGGGCATCTTCCAAACTCTCTTGCAGTAGCAATATTTTTTCTTCCTTCTCAATACAAATCTTCACAGCCCTCTCAACATGCTCATCAATCCAAATATTAACATGCGGAAATGTACGGGAAATACTTTTCATTTGGCGAGAGGCATCTCCCAGGGATTTAGAACCATCTATTAGGAAGGTGGTTAGCTCCAAAGTTGCCCTTTCCCACTCTGCACAGAGTGCTCTTATTTCGTCTTCCTTGGCAGCCAAAGAGTTTCTGAGATTTAAATTCTCTTCATCCATGGAGCATATGCGCACATGACATTCTGATTGAAGTCTATCAACCTCTTCCTGTAAATGAAAAATTGTTTTAGTTGTTTCCGTCTCCACTTCACTACGGATTAGATCAATTTGGTGATCTTTCGAAAACCGGGATGCATGATCCTCGAGATATTGGCTGTTAAGTAACTGTGTCTCCTTGAGGTTCCGAGACAGTTTTTCCAACTTAGCTTGCAGATCCATCATGTTTGTATCTTCGATGATCTTCATCACCAGAGTTGACTCCTGATTTTCTGTACCACTGCTTTTCTTGTTATGGTCGTCGCTTTCTTGCTCTGCCATTTCCTTATTGTACAGCATTTCTGTCAAACGATGATTATCAGCACGCAAAAACTCTATCTCTTCAATCAGGTGGAACTGCTCGAGTTTCATGGATTCAATCAAAGATTGTGCATCTGTCAGCTGTCTCTGAATGTTGTTATACTGCAAGTCTGAGAAATTGTCCGTCTGCTTATAATTTCTGTCATGTAAATCACCACCGATGCTGTTAGATGCTGCCTCATCCATTGAATCACTTTGAAAGGACTCGTTTTCACTCTGCAAAGAAACTAATGTCATGGAAATTGCATCGAGAAAATGTATTTGCCTACGATATTCTTCCTCTCTTTTTTACACTCTGCATTCTAGTTTGTCAAGAATTTATGAAGCTCCACAATACAATAAACAATTTCAAGATATTTGCAAGATCTTCAATACAGAAACGTGATTAGGATCAATTTATTTTGAACAAATTTGAGTCATAAGCATGCATACGTAAGGATTTCAGAATTTATTTCGCAAAAGTAATCACAGACTCTATCGAAGGACAGAAAACAATATAGCTCAATAGCCTTTTCTGTTTCATTGACAAATTTAATACAGATGAGTCAAATATCTATCCAGAGAAGAATAACATTTATTAGCAGTCATTTAGGAAGTGACTATAACCTGTCCTTAAAGAGACAAAAGCATCACTTACAAGATGTGTTGAAGTGCCCTGGTGATTCATCAGAAATGAAAGCTGGCCCTGTTTAAGCAAACACTTAATTAACAAGCTACTCGGTTCCAAATGTCATGCATTGATACATGTTACGATAAATTCGTACTTTTAATTGCTTGATTTGTCGCTGCAACACAATTACATCACCAGAAGCATCTTCATTTATTTTAGCCTAGGAAAAACCGAAGAAAATTAGTAAAGGAAACAAAAATAAAGAATCTGAAGTTTCGATACGGAAAAGTAAAACTGAGTTCAACTTTATACATTGTTCTGAATAAGCTTGGCACGCTGTGCAAACTTCAAAGTGCTCAGAGTTTCATTTACAGAGCTGCAAGACAGAAACAAATATAAATTAGTAAAAACATTTCAAAACAGGATCTGTTTTGATAATTATTCCAAGTTTGCAAATCAAAACTGTACCGAATAGAAGGGCTAACATTTGCAATAATTGTAGTTTTTGAATTTCCACCAAGAGAATCCTGCATGGGGAAACACAAGAAGAAAACCTTTACACTCAGATATATTCAGTAATAAAAGGAAAATACATGATTATCCACTGCTTAAAAGTTACAAGATATATGTTTCAAAATATTTAATTTTCTGACCTGAAGGAGAAACGTTAGCCTAGAATCCCTGTAGGGTACATGTCTATGTTTTCCATGTGCTAAATCCACCAAAGACATTATTACCAGTCTACATTTACAAATGAGCAGAAGAGTTAGAACATGATATGAAGAGAAAAAATATCATTCATAGTGTCAAAGGTGTACAAAGCTTGCGACAAGTCAAATAACAAACATAAGGAAAATATGCAAAATTAACATGGCCTCATATGGTTGCAAAAGATTTAATTTCTTTGGAACTTTCAGAAGTGTAATGTTGGATAAAATGGAGTGGCTGAAAAGAATTCATGTAGCCATTTCCAAGGTTATCGGGAATAACATTTAGCTTCTTCTTGTCAGTTGCATGGGTCCCCAAGCTCGAGTCACATATACCTCTCATGGTGGATCAGATATGAGGTTAAAGTCATTCAACTTCCCGGCTTCCAGCCTTTTCGGGATTCCATACCTTGGATCTTCATGTTCCTTGTGATGTTTTGTATGCCTTGCGTACTAAACCAAAAAGTGGTTTGCATGTGTTCGATACCATATGATAGTTACTAAAAAGATTTTATGCGGAAAAGCCTTGGTATTTAATTCATTCAAGATTTTAATTTCATAGTCTATCAGATGTTTGAGATTCTCATCCCCCATTTTAAAATTTGATGTGTTTCAAAGACAATTACATTGTGTAATAAACTAGGAAGAATATGAGAATGTCAGATCTTAAATCAGGGAGGTATGACAAGCAACAGGCTCATAAACAGATATAATATTGACAACCTGATGAGAATTAGAATAGTAAAATACTGCCAAAAAGCAAATCTGCCAACTCAACCTAACTACAAACAGATTATGAAACTAATTACCCAAGAGTTGACAGGGACTTGTTTATATTTGCCGCTTCTTTCAGACGATCTCCTTCTGCCCCTGAGCTTTTCTGCCTAAAAAAGGTAGAGATGTTATTCCATGAGAATACTTTCCAGTTTTGAGATGGTTGTCCATAGACCAGTACTTACCTCTCGGAACCAGCCAGATCAACTAAATTCAACCTTCCAAACCTGAAGTGGGTCATAGAATCTTTCTCCCAGCAGCTCTCAATGATGCACGTGAATACACTGTGGGAACGACTGCTCTTGCTGTTCATGTGAGTTGCTGCCATTTTCCTATTTGCAGCCCCCTGTGAAATATATAGGCAAATCAATCAAGTTTTTTATAATGAAAAATGAAAGAATATTCACCTTTGATCTCACCTGTAGCAAAAGTGTCAGCACATCATCGACTGTTCCGACTCTATATTCAGTAAGATTTTCAACATACACCCCCTTCTTCGAGTCTTCTCTAAGCTGTATTTATCAGACAAACAAAAGGAAATATCAATTGAATCGTTGTGTAAAGGTTTTACAAAATGATGAGGATGCTTCAAGTAAATTCTTAAATTACCTGTAAATTACTAGATGATGGCTCCAGGAGATCAGTTATTTGCTCATTGTATATCTCTAAGAAAGAGCATTTACAGCTATATTCTAGTCTTTCATGCTTTCTGCTCTCCTCTTCCTTAATGATGTTACCATGAGGACAAAACAATAAGTATACATGTAAAAACCTCAGAGTCACCAAGTAATATAACGGTCAAACCTCTCTAATCCGAGCGAACAAGTACTCAAAAATGCGTGGAGTAATCCCAGAATCTTCAGTGAGCGCTCCATCCATCTGATATATCTCACCCATCATAGTATATGTCTTTCCACTACCAGTCTGCAAGGACTCGTTCCAAAAGTCATATATTATTCACACACTAATATGTTATAATTATAAGTTGATAATGAAACTCAACGATATCTACCTGTCCATATGCAAACATGCAGCTATTATACCCAGACATGCAATTTTCCACCATTGGCAATCCAGCGACTCTGAAAAGTTCTCCCTACAGAACGGTCGAGTCCAGATAATTTATATCAAAACCCCGCTATAGCAATCACCTGGACTACGTAGCGTAAATACATAATTTACATATATCCATAGAGATATATGTAGGTGAGCAAATTTAGGCGTGCAGTTCCTTTTACAATAGTTGTCTTTTTCCTGATTAGGATGTTCCACTGAGATAATTCTGTAACAATATTTTCATGTAAAATATATTTATTATTTTGAAATATAGCAAACAAAAGATGCACCTGTGATATAGTTTCACAAGCTATGTGATCAAAGGTGAATCTGGTTTCAGGTTGGCCAAGCCAAACTACTGTCTGGGAACTCTCTTGCCTCAGGCATCTCCCATACCCTTGGGAGACCTTCTCTATATTATTCAACGGTCTGATTCGTAGCAAAACCTAAACCAAAAAATTAACATATTCACCACAACAATTTGTCAGCTCATAACACTGAAGAAATGAACATCAAATACAAAATCTTATGAAATAGACCTGCACATTGTGATCCTTCCAAAATGCAGGATCCTCATTGAGCTCAAAATGTGGAGCATCGATTATCATATCTGAATTCACAAACGTAATTCCTCTAGGAACAATAGAAGAACCTTCTCCTCTTCCTCCTGCGTTGCTATATTGATACGGAGGCCTAGTCAGA